CAGTATGCATTATTTCTTGGAATTCTTCAAAATGGCAGATTTGTCTTTTCTCCCTCATTTATTTGTTAAGTCATTTATGTCCATATGAACTCATGGATATTTATTTTGTATATAGGATAGTAATTCCACACTTTTTTTTAATGTCTCTTTGGGATACCCACATCAACATGGGGTCTTGGTTTTATCTGTGTTTGAGCCTTTCCTTACTTTTGGGCACTATAAGATGCATCCTCAAGGCTTATCTTGTATATTCCCTACCTCAGTCCTAGAATCAGCTATTTTTTCCAAGGAGCCCAGGGGATGGCTATTTTCATTATAAGGTGATTACTCACCTTACATAAGGATAAAGGCTTTGTTGCGTGCAAATTATCTTACATAAGTTGATTGACAACTCTTCAGGAACATGCCTTTTGCTGGACTCAGCTATTTTAAAAACTGTGCCTCACTGTTAAAAGTTCCCAGCGAGGCTTCATTCTAGCCAGAATATGAAAAGCCTTTCTGAGAAATGTCTTTATCTCCAGCCTCATCATGAAAGGAGGTCATTGGTGATACTGTGGGTGTCAGAAGGATTTTGTGGTAAAGACTGATAGAGTGGAAAGTACCAGACTGAGATTGAAAATTGGGCTTAGTCCAGATGTTGCCTCTGCACCCATGTGCATCTGGTCAAGTGACACTTTGTTCTTTTGGCCTCGTCTATAAAAAAGAGGTGAGTAGCTGAGCTCATTTCTAAAGTTCTAGTCAGCTCTGAAATGCTGTGCTATTAACAGCAGCAGCTCTGCCTCTGGAATGGCAGGAGCTTTGAGGAATTCAGGGTGGGAGGTGTGGGCAGGGATAGAAGTGTGAGGGCGAGCTGTGAGTCCAGGAGGAGGCAGAGCAGTAACAGAAACGCAGAGTTTTAGTGCTGACTAGCGAGCTACAGGTGAGTGGTATCATTAATGGTTCCATTAAATATTAACAATAACATTCAAGTCTTAATCTTGATTTCAAATGTAGGCTGCACCTGCATTTCCAGCTCCCTGACTGAGTGTGCTTTAGGCTTGTAGTTCTCCAGCTTGGCTGCACATTGGAAACACCTGGAAGACATTCAGAACTACTGTTGCCCGGCCCCATGCCAGAGGTTCTGTTGTATGTTGTTCGCTATAACGTTGATGAGAAATAGGCATAGCCGTGTTCAATGAAATGAAGTTACTCGAGGGCCTGCTTTCATTTCCTGCCATTTAAACACGCAGTTTCCAAGAACATACTGGCATTAAGTGAGGACTTACTGTCTGGCACAGCTCAGTCATCAGGAGCTTTGAGTTCTGCTCCCTCCATTGTCATAGCAGCAGAACCACTGCTTTAGGCTGCGGATGCTCTTGCCCCTCTTTCCTATAGCCCAGAGATTATAATAAATCCCCTAAGGGTAGGGACCTCATCTTTGTAGTTCTCACAGCACCTTATGCATAGCAGCTGACAAATTGGATGTGGAAATCTAAGTGGGTCTCACTGGGCTAAAGTCAAGATGTCAGCAGGGTCGTGCCCCTCCTGGGTGCTCTGGGAGTCAACCACTTCCTGACTTTGTCCAGCTTGTAGAGGCCGCTCAAAGCCCTGGCCAGCACGCCACCTCATCCAGATTCTGTTTACATTGTCATGTCGCCTGCTCTCACTCTGACCCTCACAGCCCCCTCTCACAGGCACCTTGTGATTATATGGTCTTGTGCTGCATTATAAGATTTGGTCAATGTCAGGGCACATATATAACAGTGCCACAGGTTTCCTATCACCTCGTGACACTGGAGCTGTGGGAACATGGAAGCATTTTACTCTGGCAGCTGCCTCTCGGATTTACCTTGTGTCTTGATAGAATCATTTCCTCTGTGTTTGCTTTCATCTCGTGTTGTTTGTTCATCGTGGTGTCTGATCCACTGTTGATGTTGCCAGTGAGAGGCCATGTCAGGTGACTTGGAAATGAAATTAAAAGTGATTAAGGGGCTCTCCCTGGTGGCGCAACGGGTTAAAGTTCCACACTATGAAGCTCCCCAAAGCCACGGCAGCATGAGTTCCATCCCCCAGCCAGGGAGCTGATCCACATGGCGTGGCAAACCTCTCCTGTCTTGCCCACTGCTCCCCTCAGCAGTGTATTTCAGTTGATCTGCCTGTTCTTTCCCCCACTCTGTCTCTGATGAATCCTCTCACCCACCACACCTCTGGCCTGTATCCCAGTTCTGTAAGCATAAATAAATAAAAAGTCTTTTTTAAAATAACAAAAAATAAATAAAGTGATTAAGGACCACGAAAGTGGAAACTCAGTGATGGGTTTTGCTTGCCACCATAGCTCCAGTCTTGAACAAAAACAAAGTGACAGAGTTGCTCAAAGATCTGCTTCACGCAGATCAACCAGACTTCAAGAAGGGCCTCTGTCAGATAGGGAGGGAGAAACTTCTAATGACCTGGTTTGACGCCCAGACACAGAAGTTCATCCCTGGCAATACCTTGTGAAACATTTGTTTGTGATGATGAGAGGAAAAGCTGAGCCCAACTACTATGAATTTACTGTGACGTTGATGATGTTCACAACAAGAAAACTGTCTAATGACATGTTTCTTTCACGTATCAGGGCCCTTAAGGGGGGCACATGCCTGGATAGGGCTCCCTGGGGAAATCTTCCCATCTCAGGATCCTTGCAACTCCCTTTGGGCATAAAGATAACAACCTCGCAGGTTCTGGAAATTAGGAAATAGCTGTCTTTGAGGAGGACACTGTTGTACCTTATCACACATAAAGGTGGACAACAGCTGTCCTATCAGGCCCTCAAATGGAAGTACGTTACCCTTGATGCCTGTCCTTTCTCTACTTATCCTATCTTGATTTAATCATCTGTGTGGAAAGTTATCCACCCTGGTGAAAATGCAGCATGTGAAAAAACAGCACAGAGCCTGGGAGTAACAGAAATAAAGAGCAGATACATATTTTTAAATGATTCAGTGAAGTGATATTCAGAACTGTAATTGGCTGTGGCGAATTTTAAAGGGCAGAGATGCTCCATCACTCAGTGGGGTGACTGGGATCTGCCCTGTGGTTTCCTTCCTCCCGCCCAGTCCCCCTTGCTCTCTGAGTTTGGTAAGACTGGGGGACAAGCAGCCAGCTGCCTCCCCTACCCCCACAAGCAGCTCTGCAAGCAGTTCCCTCTCTCCTGGACAGCAGATAACACCAGCCCTGCGTCAAGGCAGTGTCAAATGAGGGGGGCTGGGGGCGCTGAGGGCAAGGAGAAGGGGCTGTGTATACAGACCATGAAAGGTCCTCAAAGGTGTGGTTTTAGCTGAGAGTCCTTGTTTATTGCCAAGCACATCAGGTGGCAGAGGGCCTTAGTAATAAAGGAAGCCCCCAAGGAAAAACATCTCTCTACTGAGGGACTGGCCTGATCCTCTCCTGATGCCTGTTACCCAGTTCCCGTCTCCCACAACAGCCCCTAGTACCCCTTCCAGCTGGTTTCTGTCTTGTAGGACAGTGGAATCTAGCCAGCCATCTTCTTCCCTACTGAGCCGGGCTGAGAACTCCCACCAGCCAGAGCTTGGCCCCAGCTATTGCCATGGTGACAGCCAGCTGCTGTGTAGCCCCAGCCTGGGGACTGGGAACAAAAATAGGGTGGTGGAGAGATGTACATACAGGACTGCCTTGTACCTCCAAAGACCTGGGTGCAGCTGGGGCACAGAAGACCTTTTGAGAGCTCTGGGTGTCCTCATGGGTTTGTTGTCTTAGGGAGCCAGGAAGTTTGATACGTCTAAGCTCCTCCAGCCCTCCACGTTGGGATAAGCTGCCTTTGCCAAGGCATCTGTGACACTTAGCACATGTGCGCCCATGCTTCACACTGGTAGGGCCCTTCATCCTGGCATGGGACACCAAGTCAGCCTCCAGGGAGGATGGTGCGCTGGAAGAGTGTCTACTGAGAATGCGTTAGCTTTCAGACCTGCCCATTGACAGAGATGGAGAATTCAGAACTTCCCAGAATATCCATGTGACTAGCAATAATAGTAGACATTTATTGTCAAGTGTTGTGCTAAATACTTGCCATGCATTATTGATTTGATTTTCACAGTAATCTTATTAGAGGCACTTTTGTTTTTTGCCCAAAAGATTTATTTATGCATACATAAATAAATGGGGTGCAGGCCAGAGATGATTCACCAGAGACAGCAAGGGGAGCAGAACAGGCAGATCTACTGAAATACACTGCTGAGGGGAGCAGTGGGCGGGTCAGGAGTGTGTCTGCTCCCTGGCCAGGGATCAAACTCCTGCTGTAGTGGCTGCAGATAGCTTCATAGCACTGCGTCTTAACCTCCTGCGCCACCAGAGAGGCCCCTAGTTGCATTTGTTTTCAACTTTTATCATCCGATAAAGATAATGAGGCTCAGATTAGCCCGGCATGGGCCCACTGGTTCCTAAGCCCATGTTGGTAGTGTGAGGCCTGCAGGCTGGCAAGGCAGGGGGTGCTGAGAGGCTTGGGAGGCAGCTCAGCCTCCCAGTCCCGGCGAATCTTTACTCCTTCTCTGGCATTCTCGCATGGTCTGTCTCTTCTGTGGCCACGCGTCTTCTCGTAGCCTTCCTCTGAGTGACGCCACCCTTCTGACCTCTAGGCACAGGTGTGCGCATTACATGGGCCCCACCAGGTGCACGTGCTGGCACCCTCGCTCCCTGCGGCCACACAGCAGGTGAAAGCCACAGAGGCCAATGGTGCAAAAAGCCTGATTAATTCTCTCCCCTCCAGTGTTGTGCTTTAATGTCCTAATATGTAAAATGGGGGTGATAGCTGCCTCACAAAATAATGCAAATCGAATGAGATTATCTTGGTGAAAGCACAGCAAAGCCCTGACAGACACTATCAACAGTATCCCCGGGAGAAGGATGCCACCTTTGGGTGCTGCAGAAGTCATCCTCCTCCTGTCCTGCCTTATGGTTACTCATGTGATCAGGGCTCTCAGGTGGCAGAAATCTCAGGTTCTGGTTCATTCCTGTGTCCACAGGTGATTTCCATGGTGATGGTAGCCGTGGGCGTGTACGCTCGGCTGATGAAGCACGCAGGTGAGCTCCAGATACCTCTCCCACCTCCCTACGACTTGTGCTCTTTCCTCCTCAGCCCTGGCCCTCTACTCTGCTTCCTGTACAAGCTGTGGGATCAAGGTGGCAGCCACCTTCCAGCCAAATCTCAGGGGCCGGCCCCAACACATCCAGCCCCCCGTGATGTTTCTCCCGCATGTCCCTGAACCCCCACATCTTCCAAGATGAGCCCACACTGTAGCCTTAGCCTTAGAAGTATCTAGGAAAGAAGGCAGGCCCCTGGGACCAATGAGCCTTTGTCCCTCACTAGCCCTGTCATTGGGCTACTCAACCATTCCCAGTTCACTGCACAAAGTCTCCAGGAAACTAAATCTGCAATGCCATTCTAATTCTTTTCTGGAGCGAAAGCGGGCTCTCCTCTCTTAAGCCCAGAAACAAAGGCTCGTACTTGTAGTTCCTCAAGTTAAATGCCACACGCTCTTCTGGGCCCTTTCTGTTCTCCTCATGGGAGGGCAGTCCTGCCTCCCCATAACCTTCACCCATCCAGACTGGAGATTGCCCCCCAGAGACAGGCTCCCCAGCATCCCGGGGTGCACCCTCAGTGGACAGGTCGGACTAAGAGACAGACCCCTCCCCAGAAGCAGCCTTGGCCTGCCTGGCAGTGGACCCTGCTATCCTGCTGATCGTGGTGGGCGTTCTCATGTTCCTGCTCACCTTCTGCGGCTGTATTGGATCCCTCCGTGAGAACATCTGCCTCCTGCAGACAGTGAGTGGTCAAGGCCCCCCCCAGAAAAACCGTGGCCCCTTCCTCCGTGTGCCTCTCAGCCTCCTGAGCACAACCTGTCAATCCCTGTCCCAGCCTACCCCGAGGTCTGTGCTGCCCACTCTTCACCATAGAGCTCAGCCCATGTAACCCGCAGAGTAGCCTCCAAGTCTGTCCCAGGGGCACTGGCCTCCATCATGTGTTTGGGGGGCATCTGGGAAAAGCAGCCCGTGGCCCTCACCCTGTTCTCTTCATGACCTTGGAGGGGCCACTGCCCAGGAGGTGATGGACTGTCTCCTCTCCCTGCTTCCTGCAGTTCTCACTTTGCCTCACCATCGTGTTCCTCCTGCAGCTGGCGGCGGGGGTCCTCGGCTTTGTCTTCTCAGACAAGGTAGTGTTGGGAGCCAAGGGCCTTCGGTGTGGACCAGAGGGAGGAAGAGACGGCTCTGTCTTTGTTTCACCTGATTAATTAGCCACGGCACTCCTTCCCCTGGGAAGATTCAGCCTTTGAAAGGGTCTCCTGAGGGACGAATGAATGATCTTTAAAGTCACCATATTTAAGGAAAACTTCAATATTGTAAGATGTTTTCTTCTGATAGCCTGAGAGACCATCAGTGAAGTAAATTTCATGAACACAAAGTTAAAATAATCTGTAAATGTTAATGGAAAGTGATTGAGGAAAACAATTATCAAGTGAACCACAGACAACATGAAGAGCCTTTTATTTCTTTTAAAAGTTATTTATTGGCATAAACAAAAGGAAGGATGGGGGAAAGTAAGCAAGGTTTTGGGCGGTGCTTACGTATCTGGAACCAGAAACCCAGCCCCAAAGGGCAAATGATTGTCAGTGCAGAATATGGGACTATGGATAGGAAAAACTGAGAAAAGCAACAAAGCAAAGGAAGAGGTCATGGAGCGGAGAGCCACTGAGTTCATTCAGAATGCCCTTAGTGAGATTCTAAAAATGATCCTAGTACTGACCCTAAAGAGTTGCAATTCTCTCACATCCACTAGAGGTCAGTGCTCAGCTCAGTAAACTGTTCTCAAAAAAAAAAAAAGTGGTAGCTCTACATTTATCAACAAGTACTTTGTGGCAATCCTGTTCAAAAAGACAAACAAAGCTTTATTTTGAAATGTGGCTCTGGGAAGTGGCAATAGCAGGCTCAGTATTTCTCTTGCTCACTGGTAGCAGGGGTGAGTGGACTTTGGAACTGGCCATTTTTAATCACTTACAATAGGCTCTGATTTCAAGACCAACTTAAAGAAGGATGACCACTGTCTTACCCTTATTTCTGCAGGGAGGAACACATGAAGGGTTAGTCCTGTGTTGTGATTCACTACTCGTTTCTCTGGCAGGCTCGGGGGAAAGTGAGTGAAATCATCAATAATGCCATTGTGCACTACCGAGACGACTTGGACCTGCAGAACCTTATTGATTTTGGCCAGAAGAAGGTATGAGCTAAGAGTGGGGGTGAGGGGAACCTAGTGGCCTGGGAGGTTATGGCACAAGGTTAATGCAGTCTCAAGTGATGCTTCATTCCCCAGGCGTATGGCTTCTTCATTATCGCACAGGTCATGGATTCTAGCAATTTTGGGGGAAAATACCATACACAGTAGAGTGCTTTAAAAGTACTTTTTTTTT